AAAAAAAACAACAAAAACCTTGTAATATATATGCACCTTTTAAAATTTTAAAATTCAGAATTTAGGTCTTAGTGGAAAAAGAACATTTGTCTGATATTTGATCACATAACCACTACACTTATTCCTATGATATGCTTTTTAATGGAAATTAGCAATTATTATGGATTAAATACTAGATTTGCCTTGGGAAAAAATACACTATTTGATAAAGTAATTGTCACTAATTTAGATGAGAAAGAAATTTATTGCCAAATGTATTTTTTTCTGTTTATTTTTGTCATCATTTGTTTTAGTTTGTTTTTCCACTTTAGTGGCTGTGGTCACAAAAGATTCTACTTCTCTAATATTGTCATTCACTGATTACTCATACATTTTACATGAAAAAAACATAAAACAACTTCATGTAGAGTATATATTCCTTTTTCACATTCTCCTTAGTGTTTCTATTAAAGTTATATGGAAAAAAAGTTTATCAGATACTATTTCTTTATCATAGTGGACTTTCTAGGACATCCATTAAAAATAGCTCTTCTTTTAAAATGTTTAAAATTGTCCTCTTTGTCTCAAACATTTTGCATAAAAAGATCTCTTAATTTATGTCTGTCATAGAAATGAAAATCTGGTGGTTGCAATGAGGCATTGACAATTTCCTCAGCAACAGCCTGAGTCAGCACCTACAGTAGACACTAGGTTAGTTTTACTACATGTAATAGTCAAGTGTGAGTGTGTACATTCACTGTGAGATCTCACTAATATATATATATATATATAGTTTTGTTTTGTTGTTACTGTCCAAGTGTTCTGTGTGGCTTTTACCCTCACTTTCTGTGCTCACTTTCTCTGTCCCAGCTAGTTGCCACTCTTTTTGTCCTATACTCTTCACTGCAGATATTCATGACCCAGAGCAAAGTGGTGATGAGGGCCATGAGGGTTACCAACCTTGTAAGTCACCAAAGGGATGCTCTAGACACAGCATGGCACAGGCTGCCTTTGACTTTGTAATCACTTTATCTTCCTAATGGATAGATGAGAACGTGACAATTTAGCTCAGATATTAGTTCACAGCTAAATTTAGAGTGTTTCTCTCTCTCTCTCTCTACTATTAAGGACTCTGCTTACTGTCATCCTTACGTTCTTCCTTCCTCCATCCAAAGACATAAAAATAGCTGTACAGCAGGGACATTTTAAAGCTAACACATAGGTAGTTTGGCTAAGATACTCTTTCCAGGAGCGAACAGGAACCTTTTAAACTTTTCCACGTTTATGCTCTAGAGCGGTAGTAGACAGAGCTCCCTGATTTTCATATTGACCTGCTGTAAATATATACTCTTCCTCTTCAAATTAGCCTTGGCCATTACACAAAAGCAATTTCAAAAAACCTGCAATTTCTTCTTTGTGTTAGCATTAGAACCTCCCTGAGTTTTAGGAGGGCGTGTGGCTGCCCAGGTTGCAACTTATTTCCTAGCCTTCCATGTGGCCAGGTGTGGCCATGTGACTCAGTTTCCCCCAATGAAATGTGAGCAAAGTGATGTTTGCCACTTATATAATTTTTTTAAAGGAAATCACTTGCCCTCCGTTTTCCCTTTGACTACCTTCCAGCCCCAGGTGGGCTATCGGCTACTCAGGTTCACTCATGCAGGCAAGGTCAATATAGTAGGAAATGGCAGAGCAAGAAGCTAGAAGGCAGCAGACCCCTCAGTAGCCTGGTGAAGCAAAGCCACCCGCACACCCGAGAACCTCTGGGCTGATACAAGAGAGAGCAATACATATTTCTTTCTTGTGTGAGTTTTCTTGTGTATTTTTGAGTTTCTTTGTTACAACAGCCTAGTCAATGCCCTAACCAATACACAGTGGTGGACACTAAGTCCTCAGGACCCACACTGAGTGCTGAATAAGTGTCATGTCACTTAATTTTCTAGCAACTCTCCTAAAATAGATACTAATTGCTCATTTGACAGATGTGCACACAGGCTTACAGAGGCTAAACGACTTGCCCAAGATCGGAAGGCTATAAAGTGGTAGAAAGAACCTGGACTCAGCTCTGAAGGGCTTCAAAACACAGATTCTAAATCTCTGTGCCCTAGCGTACATTATTATTACTGTTCACTTTTTTTTTTAACAGAGCATATTTGAAGTAATCTTCTCAGCTAATTTAAAGTTTCTGTCTGTTACACAGTGTAGCTTTTGATTCCTTCTTTGCTTAATTTAGTGCATATTGCTCATTTTATTCTCCTTTTTTGGAGGGAGGGAGGTGAGGATTGTCCCTTGATTTTGAATAGATTCATCTTACTTTGTTCATTAAACTGTAAAGCCCTCAGGAAGTAGTGCTAGTAATACAAATGCTGCTAAATAAATGCCAACTCTCTGTCTCAAGGGATAAGAGCTACCTGGTCTTCCGGAATGATGCAGTATTCTCTTACGTGATGTTGTTCTCCTGGGTGTATAAATGTTGTTGTCAGTGAATCAATCCTGGTGAACAACCCCCAATTTTAAATACATTTTCATGGCAGCAGCATATTTGAATAGAGGAAACATCCAAAATGATGCCCATTCTATTTATCACTCTAAATATAAGCAGGTGGAATTTAAAATTTTCATGATTTCACTTTAGTCAAATGTTAGATTCATGATCATTCTGCCATGCATGAGTTAGTAATGAGCTTGCTGCATAATAAAAGAAAGCCCTAAATGCACCAAATAAGATATATTTGCCTCAGTGCATCAAACAAGATAAATATTTTTTCTTTTTTTAAAAAACATTATTTATTTTTTGTTTGAGAGAGAGAGTGAGTGAGAGAGAGCGAGAGAGCATGAGTCGGGGGAGGAGCAGAGGAAAAGGGAGAAGCAAACTCCCCGCTGAGCAGGGAGCCTGACCCAGTACTCGATTGGGGCTTAATCTGGGGCTCAATCCCGGGCTTGATCCCAGGACTCCGGTATCATGACCCAAGCTGAAGGCAGACGCTTAACCGACTGAGGCATCCAGGTGCCCCTATATATATATATATATTATAATGATAGAAATAAATAAAAAATATATATATATATATTTTTCCCCCCTAACATGAAAGAGGCGTGGATGTGGGCAGCCAAGGATTGATATGTGGCTCTTGGTCATTGCGTTCTCAGGTTCCTTCTAACTTTTTCTTTGTAAATCTCTGAAAATGGTTTCCATTCTAAAGATTTCCTCATGGTCAGCAAAAGCCCCAGTAATGACATCCATCATGTCAGAGTCTCAGGCAGTGGGATGAGGAGAGGGCAGAGGGCCTTTGTCTGCCTATTTCCTTGTAAAGACCTTTTCCAGGTTGTTTACTAAATGAAACTTTCCCTTCCTTGGTCAGAACTTAGCTATACCTACTTACACAGCTGCCTGAATAAAACCAAGGTTTTGTCTTGTTTTTAACTAAGGAAGAAGGGGGAAGAATCAATGATGGGTAGACTGCCTTCCTTCTAATTAGAAAATTCCCACCATTCTGGACCAGGGGTTGGCAAATTATGGCCTATGGGCCAAATCTGGCCTGCAGCCTGTTTTTTTTTGTAAGTAACGAGTTATTGAAACAAAACCATATGCATTCATTTATGTATTGTCTATAGCTAAGTTAATGCTACAACAAGCAGAGCTGAGTCGTTGTCACAGAGATCGTATGGCCCACAAGTCTAAAATATTTCCTATCTGGTCCTATTGAAAAGGTTTGCCAATCCCTGTTCTAGATCATGGAGGACAGATTCTGATGAACAAATGGCTTCATTCTTGGGATGTTATTATAGGAACAGGGTTGAGCCCAATATAGATTCAGTAATAATTTATTCTTCTCTAGCCCCAGTGAAATTAAATCTGTTAGGCATACATTCAGTTGCAAGTAACATAAAGCCTGACTAATGGCAGTTTTAACAATAAGGAGTTTATTTATCTCACATGCAAAGAAGTCCAGAAGTACATTGTCCAGGGCTGGTGTGGATGCTGAATGATGCTTTCAGAACTGGACTCTTGTTTTCTCCCCAACCATGGCCAGAATGTTGGCTTTCATCTCCATGCTTATTGTAAGTTGGCTGCAGCCCCTAAAAGCATTAGGTCTGCATCCTGCCTCAGAAGAAGGTGTAGGTGTCAAAGGCCAAAATGGGCACGAGTGTGTCTCTTTCCAGAACTTTCCCAGAGGTCCTCATTGGCCAGGACTGTGTTTTCATGACACGTGCTGGCAGCAGAAGATCCCAAGATGGTGAGAATGTACATTGGCCACATGACTGGGGCAAACAAATGGAGAGGGAGACAGGAGCAGTAGGATAGGAGCAGGGCTCCTCACGTTTAATGGGGCCACTCTAGCACCTTCTTAGGGTCTCACCTTGCCTACCTGCCCCTTCCTGTAGCAGTTCCTGAAATTGATTCTGTTCTTTTTCTCTCCCTTTCATGTTTCTGGCTAGGTGAGAAACCTGGCAGTGAGCCTGAAGAGGTGAAGCTGCAGAAAGCCAGCAAACAGATTGTGCAGAATGCCATCCTGCAAGCTGTGCAGCAAGTCTCCCAGGAGAGCCGGCAGAACGGGGAGAGAGCCCGAGACAGCCAGGGCATCCTCCAGCTGGGCGTCGGGGAATTAACCAAGAAGCATGAAAAGAAGTAACACAGTAGATTTGGCTCTTGTCACCTGCTTGGTTTCCAGCCTTCCTCTTAGTATAGGATGCGTTGCCAAAATGTTGCCAGTAAAGCAAACCGGAGTGTCACCGGCACCTAGCAGTAGAATGAATTCACACTAGCCCTTGGCTGAGATGCACTGTTTTGAAAAAGTGCATTAGACGATTCTGTTTGTATTAATGCAGTGCCTCTGAAACAGAGTGGGGCCAAACAGGACACTGTAATTGCAAAAGTAGTTTTGCAGCACCGTTTATTTTTAAGGTTCTTTTTTCCCCTAAAGATTCTGTCTTGTTTATTTACTTTTGCTTTTTTACGCACCTTTCTGTGAGTTTAATCAGCAATCCTTTTGGCTGAAATACTGAGTGCGGTACTGTGTTCTTTATAATATTTTAAAAAGACACACCGGAAAGGTGAAGGAATGGAGTTTGTCAACTTCAAATATGGAATTGAAGGCTCCGCTGGGTTCAGGTCCAAGATCAAATTGAGCAAAGGCAAATTCTAAGACTCAGTTCCTTAGGATCTTACAAGGCATATATTTATATTAATTTTTAAAAAGGAGGAGTTTAACTTTTTAAGAACTTAGTTTTTTTGGTCTCAGTTCTCTCCAAGGTTTGATAGCTGGTCTTTACTTTCTGTGCAGAAATCCTTTGGAAATAGGAATTTCTTTTTCCATCTCAAATTAAAGTAAGACAAGTGATAGATCTATATGCATGAGTTGCCAATGACTCTGTTTTTAGCAGCCCCATGAAGAACAACTAGACCCATAGATTCCACCCTGGGGATACACTAGGGTCTGATTATGGGGTGCAGTGTCCGTGGAAGGAGCTGTGGGGCTTTGCAAATACTATGCTGTCATCAGGCTATGTCTTCGCACTATACCTTACTAATACTAATAGGAACTTTTCTTTTCCCATCCACAACTTAAAATTATATTTTTGAGATTTTGAAAATCATACATATCAGGAATAAATAACACTGAAAATGGGAAAACCATTTTTTTTAACTCTCTGAAGCATGAAAATAGAGTGGGAACAATAAAGTAACAGTGTTTTGAACAATGCAGTTATGGGGACATATGTGCATATGAAAAAAGACATCATTATTGCAATAGTATGACTTCTGCTCCACTCCCATGTGGATAATGCACATCTTTCTAGAGTCATTAGAATCCCATAGTCTGGGTTTCATAACAGTCATTGAGTTGCTGCTACTGAAAACAGAAAGAATTTGGCCTTTAGTAAAAACGCTTTGGCTTCAGAACATCAATGTCTACATTTGATAGTTTTTTTTAGAAGCCAGTATCAGCATATATGGTATGGCTGATATTAAGATACACTTCTAGAATTCCAGTATGTTACACTTCCCAGAATGGATAAAACACTCTTATCAGCTTTGTTAGACTGTCTCACATGAGGCGCAGCTGGAATAAATTCACAGAAGAATGGCTATGAGAGGGGCAGAGGGAGTTAAAATTTAAATGTGATTTATTTATAAATATTTTTTAGCAGAACTCATGACCATTGAAGAATGAGTTTAAGTTGATTGGAAGTCATATAACTGATATGATGTGATTGCACAGTATGTAGATAATGGGAATGAAAGTATTAAGGGAACTTATTCAGAAGGATCTACTATAAATATAAACCCAATGCTTGTAGTTTGCAAGTAATCTAGCACCATGTGTATTAAGATGTCTGGTTATAACCAGTCCTGGACCTTGCTGTCATATCATGTGGTGGAAATATATAAATGTGCTATCTTTCTTCTCTGGTGTGTCTGTTCTAATTCATTGGGGATCTTTGAGAACATCAGATTAACTTCTGTATCTAAACATTATTTGTAAATAAAATATATCCAGCTTTGAAATATGTTGTCATTATAAGCCAAGTTTTCTACACCCTACTGTTTGGCTCATTTCATACATGTATCTTACATTCATTTGGCACCACGGGGCACCCCAAGTTTTCCAAACCCCTAGATATCATGATCCTGAGAGTGCTTCTTCCCTGGGCCTTTACTGCAAGTCTGTGGAATGGTTGTTCCTGAGGTTTGAACAGGAAAGGACGTGTGCTAAGAAGTGGCCTTTGGATCTCAGGAAGTAAAGATGAGTGGATCTGGAATGTTGAGTGTCTTTCATGATCTTTCTGTAACACAGCATCTACAGCAAGGACCAGAGAGATTGAGAAATTCTTGGAGGAAGAAAAGAAAGTCGAGCAACCCCTGCACTCGGTAGGTTGGTGCCATATTGGCAGAATCCTAAGTAAGCTCCGCCGTAAAAATAAATCCATCTGTTAAACTCTTGCTGATCTCTCTCAGTATAAAGTTATTGGCCTTGAAAGGGGCCTATCGAGCTTCATGTGGCATAGGATTAAGGTGGGCTACCACTTGGCTGTTATCATAAACCAGCACACAGCTTTTGGTTTTAGGAATTCATAGGAATATTTATGTAATGTCTTTTATCTTCCCGATTTACTACATGGTGAAGCATACACGGGCCTCCCAGCTCTGTGTATTCAGTTTCTCATCTTTTACTTTGCCTGGCTCTGGAGTATACTGAAGAGAGAAATCCTTTTATGTTACTTCGCTTTTCTGTAATAATCTATCCAGTGTGAACAGTATTGTAAATAGATATAAAACTTACTGCCTCCTGGGCTTCATCTCCCCACCGCCCCCAACTCTCTTTTTTAGCTGCTTCATCTTCACTTATGGTGGGATTTCAGGTTACAAAAAAATGAATGAACCATTTAAAAATAACCATGTTATTTATGCCAATCTGGAATGAATAACAATTTTCAAGGTTTTAAGGTCTTATAAAAAAAAATTAGAAAAGGGAATTTTCAACTTATTCACTGTAATGGGTATTCCAGTAAGATACAATAGAGAATAAAATCTCTGAGAAATATGGTAACTAGTTTAGCTCCTATAGGACCCAAACAGGTGAAAAAGACTAAACACATGAGCAAAGTCCTTTTAGTTCATGTAAGGAGAATGTGGAAACCACAATAATAACATCTTTTCTCTTGAATGTGAGAAAGTTTACTGAAATATATTACTACGCATTAACTCATTTTTCTCATTGTCACAACCTCACAATATGTTGCATCTGGGAAGATCTTATTCTCCTTTTGCAGATAAAGTCACACTGAGTCTCAGAGAGGATAAGTATATCCTAAGTGATGAACAGCAAGTATTATTTGGCATAGGAATACTTGAATCACTGATGTTAAACTTTGAGAGCATATGTATTAGCTAAGAGAGCTTAAGAAATATAACTTCTGGGGATATTTATGTTAAGATGGAAGAATAAAACTGCCTTCTAGTAAGAAATGTCACAAAAACAGTAAAGGTTCAGAAAAATCATCAATAGAAATAGTTCAATGCCATTAACGTCAAAAGTGGTAGCTAAGGAAGGAAAAGGAAACCACAGAGGGAACAAAATAGAAGATCACAACAGAGCATGGCAAGTTCACTTATCTTTCCTCCTCAGAGCCACATGCGAAGTCCATGGAATCCTGACCCAGGTGTGGAGCAAGATGAATGCAGTGGGTGATGTTATTGTTTGTCGACTATAGTGTAGTGGAAATGGCTCATAGGAAGAAATAGGCAAAATTGGAGAAGGTGCTCCTCCCACATAGAAGTGACAACCTTATCTTACAGAAATGAAGAAAGAAAAAGATAAATGCATATTAAAAAATCCCCTCATGGTGTTCTAGAAAATGGATACAAAATATTCAATGCCAGTACTTCTTTTTTTTCCCCTTATTTATTTTTTTGATGTACTGTTCCATGATTCATTGTTTGCATATAACACCCAGTGCTCCATTCAATATGTGCCCTCTTTAATACCCATCACCAGGCTAACCCATCCCCCC